TTAGGGCGGAGCTTCCTCTTTCTGGGGGCGGGGCTTCATTTGGTGTCTATTATTCTGCTGGATGTAAACCAGAACATTTCATTGATCAGGAGGCAGAAAGTCAGGAAAATACCATCTGGGAAAAGAAAAATTGAAAAGAATACAATTTTTTTTTCTGCATAACAGAAACTTGAAAAGAAATCTGTAAAATAAAAAAAGAATTAGACATAAAAAAAAATAAAGAATAAAAATAAGGCTAAAAATACATTTTTAGATTTGAGCAGCAAAGTTTCTCTCAGACCCTTTTTTGAATAAGAATTCCTGGACTGTATTTCTTTAAATATCCATTTACAGCATTAATGGAGCAACATTCACTTCATATTCATCCTTTCACCAAAAACAAACCGTTTGTTGAGGAAAGCAGTCTGTTTACAGCTGCAGGTCTGACCTCTGCTGGTGGAGGAGGGGATGACAGGGCGCTCTGCAGGACATGAATGATGGGAAACTCAGGCAGGATTTTGTTTACTGAGTGTTTTTATACATCCTTAGGCATTTAAAACAAGGTTCTAAACAAAGTTCTACTCTACAGAAAATATTTATCTGTCCAGTCAAGTGTACTTTATGCATTTTATGCAGTAAAAAGTAGCTGCATAGATATAGTTGTAATTTAGTTTTCCAGTTGTAATATGTTATTCTGTTGGATGCTGTTTCCTCTGCTCCTCTGTAGAAACTGAAGCTGTTTGGTCTTTTTCCTCTGTGTGTCAGCCATCTTGGTTTCATTGAGTTTTTGTTTTTTTCTTCCATTTCAATGATCAACAAATGAGCTTGTTAAGGGACCAGTGAGGGATGTCATGTCTACAGACACCCCTCACTCAGGAAATGTGTGGCTTTGCAGGTGAAACTGACTGAGTAAAAAACTTTTTTAGTGAGTAAATAGCATAAATTATTATTTGAAATAAGAGAAACTAAATTTTCTGACCACAGCCATTTAATAATGTCTCTGACGCACTTCCAGCTGTTTGATCTAGCGGACATTTTGCATGTAAAATTATTTTATCTCTTTATATTAAGTGGTAAATTCCAGCTCTGAACTAACTGGGGTTTCTGATAGAGATATAAATAATTGCACATGTAAAATTTCAGCCAGATTAAACCGGAAGAGGGTCGAGGCATTGCTTATTGTGTGAACCACAACATTTAATTTATTTACTTTTATTAATTTATCTACATTTACTGTATAGTTTCAGTTATAATAGTGTAAAACAGTGAAGCCTCAATGCCGTTAGCAAATATTTGATTTAATGAAATTTTTATTGCCTAAATTCACACACTCTTAATTATTATGTAATATCTGCAAAATAACATTTTCTAAATGCAGCTGATTTTCACTTTAGTAAAATAATTTGTTAAAGGATGATTAATTTCTGGGAAAATATGTAAAATATCAGCATTTTAATCTGTGCTAAAGGTTTTAATCTGACTGTAGATCATCCCACTGGATGAGTAGAAATTTTATTTTGATCATATTGCTTTTGTTATTTTCTGTTGCACTAATTTCTAATTAGAAGTAAAGTAATAATTTTAGGGGGGTTTCTCCTTCAGTTGCTCTTTTTTAAATACAAAATTGATCGGAACCTGAGAGAAACCAACAAACTGACCGATTTCTCTTTTTTTTTCACGTTAAATTGACGAATTTAATCTAATTATGGAAAATTTTATCACCAAATATTTGCTTCTGATTTCTAAATTTTTTTTTTTTCACTGAAATCCACCATAGGTGTGGAAGCAGTTCTTACCGTGAGGCCGGTGGCTCCAGACACTCTGAGGGCCCCGGGGCCCTGCAGGTCCAGCCTGTTCTGCAGCGGCCCTGGATTCGGTTCGATGCTCCGGGTTCCTGTCACCATTTCAGACCCTTCTCTGGACCCGGCTCTGCTGGGTGAGGAGGCCGCAGACCGGGAGCATTTGGGCCACCTTGGTTCTGACATGGCGGTAATAATCCAGCCCGGGTTTGGATTTTTTTTCTCCAGATTGTGGGAACTAATCTAGAAATAAACTGACCAATCAGACGCAGCCTTTCCATCAACATGGTGCCACCTGTGACCTCCAGGGGGAGTCCCCACTGACCTCTATTCCCTAGATTGCCGATTGCTCGTTGGTAGTAAGGGGTCCAAGTGAAGCCACCGGCCGCCATATTGGTACTCCCTAGTCTCAGTGTAAACAATCTGTGCACCACAGCATCGAACAGCAACGATGTTCTCATTTTCAGGAGGATTTAAGACTTTTAAAATAAATTCATCACTTTGACACAGACTGGCTGTTCCATAGCATCAGTAGATTAACTTTAACTTAGAATAAAAAAACTCGGCCCATCACATTGCAGAGTCATTGTTACGGTAATTACATATAATTTAAAAGTTTTACATAAAGACTGAATTAAAAGCACATGTCTGTTTATGCTGTAGTATTTTTCTATTTGCAAATTTTGCATGCATGATGCCGTATACTTTATGCCGTGTCTTTAAATTAGCCCTCAAATCTGACAGATTTACAAAGGAGCAAATGAATGAACCAGTTTGATCACTCCAGAGCTTCACTTTCTACACTAACAGAATCACATCAATTGGTAAAAAATAACAGAAAACATCAAGTTCATATTTTGCTTTTTGCTCTTAGTTACAAGAATTTGATCATTTGAAAAACTATGCATAAAAGCATGTATGCACACACTGACCCTGACTGTAAAATTACCTGTGAAAAAAACTTCCAACTGCCAGGAAACTGCTGGTTTCTGCAGCCAAATGCTGCACAGGGAGGCATTGTCCTGCGCGTCTCTGTGGGAGTGGGGAGTACCAAGATGGCCGACGGTAGCTTCACTTTTTTCGGGCAATCAGAAATCCAGTGAATAGAGATCAGAGGGATTCCCAGAAACCAGGTGTTAAAGGACCACGAGGGTCCAAGAACCCGTTGGAATTATGTCACACATGACGTCATGTGCAGAGGTGAGATGGAGACACTTTATTAAAAATTAAATGTAAAATACTGTTTATCAGAGGTGTCAAGTAATAAAATACTTAAGAAGAAATGTTGTTTGTCTATAATTTACTGGAGTAATTATCTTATCGACAACTTTTTCCTTCTACTCCTTACATTTTAAAAATAGATTCCTTAGTTTTGTTTCATTTAAGCTCATTTTCATTATAGCCTGTTGGTATTTAATTTAGGTTGGTGCTGCCCCAACTTGT